CCCCCGCGCCGCCCACCCGGGCCTTCCCTTCCGCGGCAGCTCGGCGCAGACCGACCTGGGGAGCTCTGCAGTGCAGCGTAGAATCCCGGAGCGAAAGTCGCCCTTCCTCTCGCCGGAAGGTGGTCCTCGTCCTTGACCCCCTGGTTCTGCTCTCGGAGGCCGCAGAGAATAAGCCCGCTCCGCCTTCCTTGGACCAGCTTCAGCTCTTGCGGTGTTCCTCCACCTTGGCAACTTCAAGAGGCATGGCCTTCAACTCCCAGAATTCCCCAGCCAGCTTGCTGGGAGTTGAAGTCCACACATCTTAAAACATGCTGGCTGGGGAATTCTGGGAGTTGAAGTCCATGCCTCTTAAAGTTGCCAAGGTGGAGAAACCCTGAACTATTGAAAGACGGCTGTTTTATCTCCCTCCAGTTGTCTTTGGTGGAACCTGCTTCAGTTTGGATTTCTCCTGAATAATTTACAGTACAGAAGTCAGCCAGGTCCAATTCATTATCGCAGTAAAAATATTATATATTTATACATTTCCCAATATGTTTTGTAAAAGCGTGGCACTGGATTTGATTGCTGAAGGATGAGGCTACATTGGGGGTGGGACTTGCCTTCCAGTGCTGCTGATACGCTTTGTACATCTCTGCTTGGTTGAGAGAAGCTCGGCTAAAATTGGGTGGCTTCACAGTGTTCTGGGATGTGTCGCCCTTCTAAGCTTATTTCACTGGTGAGTGAAATGTTTCTTTGTATCTTCACGGCAACAGTCACATTGCTGCTCCTTTGATTTGCATAGGTAAAATGCCCCTTCTTTTTCTGCCTCTCTTTGCCTCTCCAGAGAGAGGAGAAGTCCTCCTTTGAAACAACCTAATCCTGGCTTGCTGCTTTCCACAGTCATGGCTACGGAAGAGAAGAAACAGGATGCGGAATCAGCCAAAACGCAGTCAGCACCTTCCTCCTCAACCAATCAGAGCAAGGTGAGTGGAAAGTTTCTAGACTGTTGTTCTGCTGGGAAATCCAAGTAGAATTGTTTGGAAGAGTCCAAATAGCACAAAAACCTGCATTTTGCTGACAGGATGATTCAGAATATATTCCTCTTTTCTTGCTTGTGGGATTTAGTTGCTCAGGGAGCCGTAACATCTAGCATAGATGCTATCTGTGTGACAGGAGACTGCAGACTATTGTTCCATCTATTCCAATACATTATAGGTTTAATGGTAACTGCAGCTGTGCAATCATTGCATTCACTTATTCATATTCTAACTAGTAATCAATGTTTTTTGAGATACAGGTAGTTCTTGGGTTACGACCATTCATTCAGTGACCGTTCAAAGTTACAACTATAT